CGCCTGGACCCCTGCCTGCCGCACGCCGGCATGCCGCACCCCGTACCGCGCCGGGAGCTCCTTCGTGGGCAGCGTCCTGAAAGCGGTGTCGGGGAAAGGTGAGCTGGCTCCCCGCTGCCGGAGTGCTGGGGTTGGGCATCGCTCCCTCCCATGCTGGGGTACGCACTGCTGCTGGGCGAGGAGGAGATCCCAGTGCCATCGCCGTGCCCTTCCCTGTGGATTCCCTGGTTGTTCCCTTGTGGCAGCCATGGGCTGGGTCACTGCTCTTGTGAGTGGCTGGGGCCTTCTCACAGCTCCCTGGGGCGGATGGGCGCGTGGGTGAGCTCCGGTCATGCTCCCTGCCGCACGCAGGGCTGGGCGCAGCACCTCTGCCCTCTCTGCTTGCAGATGCCGATGAAGCTGTCGGTGGTGGGAGTGCATTTTCCAAGGACAAATCTGCCTCTACACCAAAGCCAAGAGGTATCGGGGCTGTCACCCTGCTCTGGAGCTGCAGGGTTGCCTGCACAGGGGGATGAGCAGGCGTGCCTTCCTGCTTGGCTCCGTGTCCCCTGGGGCTGACGTTCCCTCCGTGCCGCTCATCAGTCTCTGCCCGGCCCACAGAGCCTGAAGTTGGTCTGCTGGAGAGCGTGAGGGAGCTGAGAGCCGTGGTCTCCGACCTCACCATGCTGAGCTCCCGCATCCAGGAGCTGGAGCAGAGCGAGTTCAAGGCGCTGCAGACGGAGATGTGAGTTCAGCAGCGGCTTGTGTCGAGGGCCGGGCATGGGCACTGGCAGCCGGGCTGGGGTCTGCCTCTCACCGCAGCTCTGGGTTAGACAGCTCCTGTCACGGCTAGAAGGGCTTTTTTCAGCTGGCTGGGCTGGTGGGTTGGTCCCTCTCACCGTGGGGCTGGGTGGGATGCCCAGGAAGGGGTCTGGTACCCGGCACTGCCCTCGGCTCAACCCCACTGTCCTCTCCCAGCTCTGACCTGCAGCTCCGTCTGGAGACGGTGACAGCTGAGAGCCAGGAGAAGATGGACGCCCAGGCTGCCACCATCACCAAGCTGAACAAGGCGCTGAGGGGCAAGCTAGAGGTGAGCGGGTGCCAGAAGTGGGCCAGCGCTCACCCCAGGGCAGAGCCGAACTGGGTCGGGCGCTGATCTAGGACATGGAGAAATCTGGGTGACCGGCTCTGGCGGTGCCTCACGGGTGCTACTGGCTCGTCTGACCTGCTCAAACATGAGAAAACGCGCTCCCTCCCTGGGGTGCTGGGGGTGGCTGGGGCCGGGCGCTGCCTGACACCGCTGCTTCTCCCCCACAGAACGAGAAGGAGCTGCAGGACGTGGTGAAACAGCAGGAAGAGAAGATGCTGCAACTCATTGACAAGAGTGGGGAAGTCACGGTGCGTCATGGGGGCCTGGTCGGGCTTGCACGCCTGCGGGGTGCTGGCCACGGGACCCCACTCAGCATCTCGTTTTCCCCCGCAGAGGCTGAAGGGAGAGGTCTCCCAGCTGAAGCGGTCGCCCCAGCGCGCG